TTCAAAACTGTTTTACACGATTATCATTCATAGTTTATTGTAGTACCTGAATCACAAACCCTGTTCAGGGGATACTTGGGTATCTCCGAATGAAATCCATCACCCTGATGAAAAGCAGTCCTTGGGCAGCGACTGCCACCGAGACCTCTACGTGCTGGATATAAAGAAAGCAAAGGATGCGCACAGCACGCACAGGGCCGCGAGGAGAACACAGCCGGCATCTGACGGGGGCCTCTGTGCAGGCTGGCCCCGAATTCACCGCCCGGAGAGATGCTGAGGCTCAGCCTCCTGACTAGGAGTACAAGCAGGCAGCGTCAGCCCAGCCTTATCTACTACCTTCCAATAACTACCCATCGGCTCGTGATGTCAGACTGAGTTCTTGGCATAGCTCAAGGACCTGGGTTCAGTTCCAAGCAACAAATGAATGGCAAATCAACATCAAGTCTGGGTAGGCACCAAGCTCAAGAGCACAACATGGATCGGAGCAATTGCTGGGAGGGAAGCCTTGGGAGTAGTTTTTATGTGCGACTGTTATCACCGTGGTTGTTGGTAGTACTGGGGTTTGAACTAAGGGCTCATGCTTGGTAGGTGTACACCCTCTTGAGCCACACCTCCAGCCCTTTGTACTTTATTTTTCAAATAGGGTCCCATGCTTTATCCTGGGATCAACTATCTCTGCATTCCGAGTAGCTAAGATTACATGCATGTGCCACCACGCCCAGCTTTGGGGAAATCTTAACATTCACAATTCACGGAGTCTCGGAGGGTGCTCCGGATGTGCTGGGGTTCCGAGTGAGACGCACCTCAGGACACTGACATCTGTTACTAGAAAGAACTCTTCAGGGACACTCCCTTGTGGAGAGTGGCAGAAAAGGAGCCTGTGCCTTTTCATTTGAAATCTGTAGAGGAAGCAGGGAGCAATGTCTGGAATTTCTTAAAAAGAGATTTTCTTCTGTGGCAGGGAAACTAAAAGAATTACTTGTCAAAGACCTGGCTCCATCCATTATAATTGAAGCAAACCTGTTTAGAGCAAACTGCCTTATGGACGGGGGGAATGACTTTGGGACATCTGAGATACCTTGACCTATGAGGTAATGCCCCCCAGGAGGATCGCCAGCAATTCTTCACTAGCAACCAAGTCACCTAGCACCTTCCTGCATGTACAGGTAAAACCGCACCAGATTGATTGACTGCAATGAATAATGCCCACACGTCATAACCATCAGCAGGAGCCCAAGAAATCCAATTTCTGCTGCATTGTTTCCCACCTGCCAGAGGCCACAGCTGTATTTACACACTGTCTCCATCAGAATCACGGCTGCCAGAGGCTTTCCTCTGCCAGTTTGCTTTCCAGTGGCTGAGGTTCTGGCGTTTCTGAGGGACTCAGGTCATCCTAGGGAATCCACACGTGCACAGACCCGACTCCCCAGGGCCTGAGATAAGGCAAGTGTTAGATCCGGGACACAGAGTCAACACTGGGGTTGGAAAGCAGGCAGCACAGGCAAGTGCCTCCTTCTGCAAGCCCTGGGCAGCGACTTAGCAACCCCACAGCAACTCCGGGTAAAAAGGAGCTTCATCAGCATTTACCAAGAGCCGTCTGTAGTCAGTACTGTGCAGGTGGTGTGCAGGGGTGGAGAACAAAGGCCAGGAGTGTGCACACACAACAAAAACTCAGCCCAAAATGCAAATGAGACAAAGGAGGAATCTGTGAAGAGAAAAAGCCCACATGAATTCCATGGAATTCCTGGAGGAAGAGTTTTTGGTCTTCCATTACAAGGAGGAATCAACATGGCAGCCTAGGAGACATGCAATGAAATACAGGGGGAAAAAATGAGGCTTCCAAAAGTAAGCCTCTTATAAATGTTGTAATAATTAACGTACGAAATCTAATGTTTACTTAATAACTGTCAATGTCACAAAACCGTTCAAAGAATGTAATATCTAACTCCAACATTAAAAAAATTCATGATCTAACTTGGAGTTAGGGCAAGATTAGATATGTAGACAGATATATACATACCACATAGATATCAAATATTATTAAAAGGCAATCCTCAAAGGTAATGTTTTGTTAATGCCCAATCATAAGTACCAGCAAAGAAAGGAATTATTTAGGAAGTAGGAAGACTTACTAAAGGGAAGACTAAATTAGACTCTTAAGACAGGCCAGACCGTCCTGAATAAACTGCTAGTGGAATTTCTGAAGCAGGCCACTGAGAGACAGGCAACATCCCACCTGAGAACAGCATCTGTTTACTGTGCATGAGCATGCACGCGCACGCGTGCGCACACACACACACGATCAAAATATTGATCTTGTGAAGCCTAGAGTAGAATAGAGGTGGGGGTGGAGGGGAGGAGACACAGGTATAGGGGTGCAGTTATATTTTTTTAATTGAGTTTGATCCACACATCCAGACCTTTCTGTTATTTTTTCAGACAGGTTCTCTCTGTTCTTAGGTTATTTTTTTCAGACAGGTTCTCTCCTTTTGCCTGAGCTGACCTTGAACAATAATCCTCCCCAGCAGTGAGAATTACAGGTGCAGAGGTAGAAGGCTAGCTTCTACTGCTCTAGAGCACAGCCGGCCAACTGGACAAATGGCCAAGGACTGGCTGTATATTTTAGAACAGGCAGTGAAGACTATTTGGGCTGTTCCCCCAAAGGAAATGATCAGCGTCTGAGGTGATGCATATGCTAATAGGGCTGATTTGATCATCACACACTGAATAATACGCATTGTGTATTAACAAACCAGGGAGAAAGACCAGTTACCCCAAGTGCACTCCTCAAGAGGCACTGCTGTGATCCAATCAGGTTGGAAAGTGCGGTCAGAGCTCGCTCAGTCATGGCCAGGAACTTGTCAGAAAGGCAAGCTTTCAGACTACTTCCTACTTCCTGGAGCAGGACTCAAGAGTAGAGGCTTGTTGGGTTCTGAAATTGAACCCAGAGCTTCAAGCATGCTAAGTGCAAGCTGTACCCCCAGCCTACAATTGTGTGTTTTCACAATTTCCTGAGGTGATTATGACAGATAGCCAGGTCTGAGGAGAACTCATCCGTACAATGAAGACAAACCTGGTCCACACTGGATGCTCACAAGTAAATGCTTTCAAACAGACTCTAGAAGCACTCTAATACTTAAGAGAAAGAGAGATACATTTCAGCTACTGTATAAGGGGGGGGGGGGAATCAAGTTCTTAAAATAGGAGCAAGTTTCCATTGTAACAAAAATCTTTCTACTCCCCCTCCGCCCCCCTCCCCCCACGACCCGGTTTGGGCTCTCAAGGTTGGAGTGCTTTTCATGACATTTTTAAATGTGTATGAATAGGAAACTGGGGAATTCACATCTCATTTGATTTATGACCAAAAATATCAAGTGCTTCTTGTTTCGGGGCCGGACGTGTTGGGAATTGAACACTGGGCAGCCCATGGCTCATAATGTCCCTTCTCAGCCGAGGCACCGTGGAAGAAAGATGACTAACTGAACCGTCTCCACTGACTGTGATATGCACTTTCTGAAAGAGATAATTAGGGATCTGGGCTTTGCTGAAACACACACACACACACACACACACACACACACACACACACACACACACACACACACACACACACACACACACACACACACACACACACACACACACACACACACACTCCACCTCAAGTGCAGCCAGGATTACAGATTGGGCTGGGAATCTAGGTACGTAAAGTTCTTGTAGTACCAAAGTTAGAAAGACTTTCTACAGCCAATATATAGTCGGGTTGAAAGCACCTCTGAATAATAAATTTCATCCTCCATAGACAATCTTCAGCATGCAAATTAAATATAAATCTGGGAAGGACACAAGCTCCTTTGGAGAATGGGTTTTACTTGGATTTTTAAGCTGGCTTTTCAGTGGCATCAGGTCACCCCAAAATTTTCAGCAGGCCAAATCTCTCCCAGCCTCTCTTAATACTTAATAAGTTCATAATGATTTCATATGACTCCAGCTGTAACTATAAAAAGCTAAGTAATGTGAGGACCACTTTCCAATCCATTTAAAGTCCCCAGAATGCCTGGCTAGACTCAGATGACATCATTATAATAATCTATTTTCAGCAAGTTTGGTTTAAAAAACTTTTAATGCTTTGTAGGTGGATTAAAAATATATCTCTGACTGCAATTGGATTGGCTCATCAAGTAAAGTCATCTAATTATTTGTCTTCAAATGTTTGTTTGCAAGCATTTGACCCAGGCTGCAGGACTCCACAGCACAAGGAAAACCCTCAGTTACTAGAACCATCACAACGAATTGTATGGGTACTAATAGTCCTGCGCGGATACGCACAGGTCTGAGAGCTAACCAGACAGAGGAGATTCCACCTGACCTCGTTCATCATGTCTCTGTTATGCAAGGTGCCATGGAGTGAAATGAAGAACTAGCATAGAGCCATCTGAACTTCACAGAACTCACGAGGGCTGCAAGGACGGCAGCAAGTCTCTCATACACATGCGTATGGCCTGGTGAAACCCAGTGACCAGCTGAAAAGGAGGGAGGAGGGAAGGCACGGGAAGGGGGGTGAAGGTGTTCCGGTGAGCACGTGTGGATGCATCCCAATGAAACCCTCCCGTGACACACGCACGCTCATAAAGACAGAAAGGAAGCCAATAAAAGAATCACATGACAAAAACACCCGCAATAGGTTCTCCACCAGCGTGTGGATTCTTCTCTCTCACCATGTTCACCGAACAGTGAGAAAGACAGCTGAGTAAGCCAGCGACAAGCTTCCACGGGGCAAGTGCCCTGAGTCCACCAACTGGACTCGGTCAGCTTCGAAGGAGCATCCTTTCTACACTAGGAACGTGCACAGCATTCTCCAGAGAGGTCTTGCGGTCCAGCTCCACTCCTGGCAGCCCCACTGTTTATGCAAGGCTGACCTCAGAGGCCTAGGAAGGTCAGCATGGCGGCCACAGTCCCCGCCCCCTTCCTTCAGCACCAAACCCAACACGGCCACTTACGCCCAGTCCCCAGAGCTCCCTCCATCCGCCAGCAGGTGGTTTCTCTCTGGTCCAGGAAGTCCCTGGGCAGCTGCAGTCGTGGGTGAGGGGGAGGAAAGTGAGTCTTGGCTGCTGGTGGGGGTGTCTTCTCTGGGAGGATTGGTGCTGTCACCTAAGGGGGAAAAGAGCATGGAAGGTCAAACCCCCAAAATAAATAATAGTAGTAGTAGTAGTAGTAATAGTAATAATAGATACATACTAATAGCTATATTACTTCATTCATCAATCAAATGATAGCTAAAATTGTATTTATAATTCAGCCTGTGAGTACCTGGGTATTCTGTCCTTGAAGTTTTGTCTCTTTGCATTTGTTTTTAAACCAAAGATGCTTAAAATTAATGACAGGGGTCATGGAGAAAAACAAAGGAGGGGGCAACAATGCTCGATTGGAAATGTACTCATTACCTTCCTCGTGTAACTGTAACCCCTCTCTACAGTATCTTCACAGTAAAATATATTAAGAAATTAATCACAGATGCTTGGATTGCGGGGTTTGGATTGTCCCCCCAGGCCCACGTGTGAAAGGCTCAGTCTGCAGCCCCCAGGGCTACTGAGAAGTGGTGGGAACTTTGCTTAGAGGTGGCACCTAGCGGGAGGCTTTTTGGTCATTGGAGCTGTGTCCAGTGACAGAGGGGTTTACTGTGAGCCCGCCCTTCCTTTTCCTCTCTACCAGCCAATAATCCAACACTTCCTGTGTCCTACCACATGCTTCCTGCCATGACACGCCACCTCCCTACAGGCTCCTTTGCTTTGGGGCCTACAGGTAGTGAACTGAGTAAACACTGAGGTGAAGTAAACCTTCCTTCTCTATTAGTTTCTTTTATCTCAGGTATTTGTTACAGTAACAGAAAGCTAACTAGCACAAAGACAGTAGCCAATGAAGAGTCAAGAAAAGTCATCAAAATCAGAACCAATGGAAGACAAAAGCCTAATAGCAGACACAATGACTACCTTCTCTAAAAGGAGCCCAGACATGAGCCAGCATCAACATTGAGGACAGCCCAGAGCGGCACACAGACCCCCAGGGTCCCATCCTTCATCTCCTAGTCACCTGCTGGCTCTATAAGCCTTTCTAGGAAAGAAATGCATGTGGGGAGAGTCCGGGGGAGACCCCTGGATGACCCAGTGAGGGGTCCTGTGCAGGGACATGATACCTGGATGGTCCTGGTGTGAGAGCAGACTGCTGAGCTCTCTGGGTGGGGACGTTGCACAGAGGGCGGGACAGTGGGCAGGTCTCATGGGTTTGGGCATCTTTGGAAAGTTTTGCTCTGCCCCTGCCGTCGCTTTTTCCACAGACCTTCATCATAAACATATTTAATAGTACCTGGAGAAATGCAGTGCCAATAGAAGGGCCAAATTTGAGGCAAATGAACCAAAACCCACCGAAAGACCACAGTGGCTCTGATTCCTTTTCACTAATTTTGCTAGTGGGACAGAGTCCACTTTGGCACAGGGATTGTTTCTTTCCTTTGCTTGGAGAGCTCCACTCCATCCAATTATTTCCTGTTAAGGAGTCCAAAGGGCTGGAGGCTCTAGCCTTCCCAGGCCCTTTCTGTGTATCCTAGCCAGCACCAACAACCACTCCATTCCAACTTAAGAAGGTCTTAAAATGTGTAAACTGCAACACTGACCTTCATGATACCTGTCCATTCAGGGCCAGAACAGCCCCTCAAAAGTGAGTGGGCACAGCCAGGCACCAGTGGCAACCCCTGTAATTCTAGCTACTCAAGCTGACAATCATGGTTCCAGATCAGCCTGGGTAAAAAGAAAGTTCAGAGGACTCCAGTGCCAAAATTGTCAGCAAAATGTAGGTAGAGCAACGGGTGGAGGTAGGACTCAAGTGGTAGATTGGCAAGTGAAGATGAGTATCACCAATCAAACAAGACAAAACAAATCAGTACTGGGATCCAAGGGCCCCCTACTCCTGGTGGGGGCAGGAGCATTCAAACTCCCTGACTGTAGGCAGGGCATTACCCAAAAAAGCAGCAACAGAGAACCCGGGACAGGCTCATTCCTATCAAGAGAAGGCTGCCAATGAGAAGCAAATCAAGGACCTAGACTAAGGGTCTAATGTTACTTAAAAAGATGCCCGAGACATCTGTACTGCCAGCCAGGGCAAATCATTTGATTCTCTTCTCATCGTTTGTTTTTTTTTTTTCTCCCCAAAGCAGTCTGACATGGCACCAATTATTATTCAACAAATGGAATCACATTCTATTAAGAGAATTCTCTCCTTCCTTTCTGCCAAACAGTGGCAATCTGAACCCTGAACATTACATTGGCAGAAGGGGTTAGGTTTACAGACAGATCAAATGAAGAGGCATCTTGCGTTCCTTTCCCAGGGCACGACATTCCTCTCTCCTTCACCATTCAGGAATGATGCTATCTACTGGCCAGAACTGCTGAAATCATAAGAGAAGAAATATTGCAAACACCATCTGAAACTTCAGTTCACTAAGAATCAAAGTGTCACTTTTTAATTAGTATAACCACAATAATAATAGTAACAAAGAAAAAGGAATCGGACTACCTGGTGAAGAACAGGAGCTGTTTTGAAGGGTGGGCTCTCTTGACTGCTTTTCTAAGTTATGAAAGTGCAGGAGTCATCTCCAGTTTCCCTCGCCCCTCACCTGTATTCACTGAGTTCTAATGACTCGTGTGTGACTCCCTTGTGGTGCTAGGAACTGAACCCTGGCCCTCAGGCATAGCGAAGCGCTTTCCCACTGAGCTGCCACTTGAAGTTGATTTATTTATGAACTTAAGTATTTGAGCAAGCGTCATACTTTCATAATAGACTAAAACAGAAAGTTACAACAAAGGGGTGAGGACAAGACATTGAAATTTTGACCGTCTTTATTCACTGAGGGGATGGTCATGGCCATCATTTTAGTATTTTTATGAACTTCTACACTAGCAAAATGTCTGCATTCTGATGATGTCTAACGATTGTCTCATCCATCTCTGGGGTTAGAGAATATTTTTTTTGGCATTGCTGAAGGGAACAGAGCCTTGAATTTCCTCTTTCTTTCCTCTGTGTCTGTCTAGCAAATGTATCTCCTCACCATTCAGTAGTCGGAGATTGCTTCCCTGAGTCCCTCCCTGTCCCTGGCTTTGTGCAGGCCAGGGATCCATGTCCCCCTCGCAGCACCACTATTCCGTGTTCCTCAATTTTGTTTTGGCAGTACTGGGCTTTGAACTCAGGGCCTTGTGCTAGTCAGGCAGGTATTCTACTACGTGAGACATGCCTCCAGCCCTCTTATGTTTTAGTAGAAATAAGGAAGAAAAGGAGACAAGATGGACTAGAAGGGGGAGGGGAAACACAAAGAAAGCTGATGTATTCACTGAATTAATTCAGGCAAACCCCAGGCACCCATTTGGCTGGCTGGAAGGCAGCTGCAGGCTTGCCACTGCAGATTCCATGTTGGCAGAATCATCTCAGATACTTCTAATTAGCCAATAGTTCATCACTAGGATCAGAGAAATATTTGCTGGGCACAAAGTAGTTGCACTTAAACCAACACGGTCACAGTCTCTTGATAAAGCTCAGTTACGATGAAAATGAAATTTTAAGTGGAAGCCCGCCCTTCTGCCCTCACAGGCCCAGCAGTATCAGGAAGATAAAATAACATTAATGTGGGGGGAGGGGAGGGGAGGTGTTGGGGGGTGAGCATTAAAATGCTGTTCCACATCTCTGTGTAATAGAAAAAAAAAACAATAACTCAGGTTAGGAGAAGTATAAAGCAAAGGTTATTGGTTCCAAGATTAACCAGAAGCAACAGAACCAGACTGAAGTTGGGACCTTGTGGGTACTTAGAACCTGGATACAACTGGGCTGAAGGCAGGAGAGCAAGAATCCAGCTCTCCATGTGGGAGTGGGGGCTGGGAACAGCTGCTACATTAAAAAAAGGCCGGAACTCCACAACTACCTTCCCTCACCTGCCTAGGACTTGACAGGTCTAGGCCTCTGGTCCCCAGGATGAGAGTTAGGGCAGCAAGTAAGACCTAGATCTGAACAAAGCACTTAGGGAAACTGGTATAAATGAGCTAGAGAAGGAGAAAGAATGGAAGGAGAGAGAGGAAGGGGAGACACACACACACACACACACACACACACACACACATACACACACACACACACACACACACTCACACTCTCATCCTCCCGCACAATGGACAAAACAGAACTTCTATGAACGAAAAGAAAACTGATAGTAAACTTAACAAGTAAGAAATCCCAGAGATTTTAAGATGTGTAATATAGAAATGGCACTGCCCAGCCAGGAGCCCATGGCTTCTTCCAGTAACCTTAACTACTCAGGAGGCTAAGATCTGAGGATTGTGCTCAAAGCCAGCCCTGTCAGCAAAGTCTATGAGGGTCTTTTCTCCAATGAATCAGCAAAAAGCCAAAGTGGAGGTATGGCTCAAGTAGTAGAGGTGGCGTTCTAGCCTTAAGCAAAAAAAACAACTGAAAGTACAAGACCTTGAGTTCAAGCCCTAGTACCAGTGCGTGTGCGCGCGCACACAGACACACACACACACACACCTATCTTCCAAAAGAAGACTTAAACTGAGAAGAAATGTTTAAACAAATAATGAGCCATTTCTCAACATTAAAAACATTTCAGAAGGGCTCAGAGTATCAAAAATGAAGAAAATTCTGTACATCGACATTACTATGAAATTTAAGAAAATCAAATACAAAGAAAACACCCAAAATGCATGCAGATATAAAAAGCAGATCATAGCTTAAAAATATAAAGAACCAGACTGACAGACTTCACAACAGCAACAGTAAGTATGGAACAGAAATTAAAGTAATTCTGTAAAGTACTGAAGAAGAATTTTGAGCACAGAGCTATATATTCAAACTGTCAAACTGCCATTCAAACATGAGGGCATAATAAAAATATCAGACATAAAAAAAAATCACCAAAGGTCTGCCATCCAAAGAACTACACTGGAAACACTCTCAGAGAAATTCCTCAAGATGTGAACCAAAAAGAAAGTAATACAGATACATGACTGACCTGATAATGTTTAAACAACAACAAAAAGCAATGTAGATATATGACTAACTTGATAAATATTTATTTTCATAAAGGAAATGAAGAC